TAGTGAGTAGATCTACTCTGTATTACCAGCAGCTCTTAAATGAATAGACTCCAACTACCTGATTGAAGTATTTGTCTTTTTAAGATAAATTATTGTAGTAAAATTGAACAGACATATTCTTTTGAGGTTGCTGTCTGTGAATTTATTGTTTTTTATCCTAACACTTAGTCCTATCAGTATTATCTTGTTCTATGTCTAGAAACTAATGTTTTGAGAAAATTGAATTTAAAAATTCAATAATCTCATTTTTTATCAATTTTTGTTTTTACATTTTTAAAATATATTTAAGAGTTTTAAATGTCTAAAAACTATTTTCCTTTTTGTGTATATTTGAAAATGTTTAGATTGGGAGTAATTCTACTTGATATATCACCATATGCAAATTGAATAATGTTCTATGTCTAATTGACCATATTGTTTTCCCATTTTCTCATGACACTCATTTTCCTCAAATAACCAGTTTAAAGACATAGATAAAGATAATACTGAGGGAACAATATTTTGATGAGGTTGATCAAATAATTTATATAACAAAATACAACTCTATAATGAGGACTTAGACCATTATCAAATTGAAAAAGGCATTCACTTCTATTTAGAACAAATAAGAAAAAAATATTGTTTATGTGTGGGAAACCATACCAGCTTTAATGGTCTAATTAAGTTTAGATAGAACATTTTCCTATTCCACACATCAAAAACTCAATAAGTTTGGAGGATGTAGTTAGAACAAGATAATACTGAGGGGATGACTTGCCAAGCTTTATATTTATGTGACAAGACTGTTTCATGATACGGGTTAAATCTTCTATCTTGTAGATATCATGTTAACCAGGTAAAATGGTCTTATTTTCTTTCTTTTTTTTTTTCTTTTCATAGACGGCTCAATACTTCGAGGGTATTATGCACTTAAGCACACAGTAACGGCTGCTGGAAACCTTGAGAGACCAGAGTTGATCGTTGCTACAAGATTGCGGAAGTACATGGCTTGCATTACTCAAGTAAGTTACTTCAAAGTCACGCATCATTAATTATTTCAGGGGAATCTTGAATCTCAATGAATATGGTTTAAGAATGCAGTTTTGGATTTCTTTTATTTAGAAAATGGAATATCAATATTTTTCAGGTCCTGTCTCTGGATAAGAATGACATGGTACATGTACTAAATCACATGGGCCATACATGGGACGTACACCGTGATTTCTACCGCCAGTATAGTAGTGTTATTGAGCGGTTAGATGTTAGTAAGCTTCTGCTTCTCCAGGACACAAACCAGGTTGGAGATTACCGGAAGCAAGGGATGAACTCCATAGACATCGAGAAGTTAAACAAGGCAGGTTTTGCAGGTAAAACACAAATAGAATATATTTCTATTTACTTATGTATCAGATTATTGCTGCAATGTTATCTATGATACAGTTGCATTTCATATTTTTGTAATTCATTTAAATCATAACATGATGAAATAAGGCCTAAGAAAAAAAATTGTTTGTTTCCGGTTACCCGACTGACCCTATGAAAAAGTACCCGACCCATAACATTTTGAAGCCACTAGCAAAAAAAAAGTTTTGGCTTCCGACCGACCCCATATATAGCCTCCTTTTCGGTAGCTTTTTTATTTTACTGCTACTTTATAATGAGAATTTTAAATAATCTTTGCTTCATCCTCCGACTACAATAGTATTTATTTCTCTCTTGACAAATATGTATGCACGTAAGTACTGACTGAATATTGCTTTTATATTTAATATAATGGTAAGTGAGAAATATATAAGCTGAAATAATTAGCTGGGAGTCACTCATGTGCAATATTGTAGAATTGTGTGTTTTTTAAATTGCGTTTAGGTGTTATATCTCTAGAATTACGAGTATCATTTAAGTTGTATTTATATACTTCAAGTTATTTACATGCTAACAAATTTATATATACCCCGCGAGCTTTGCTGTCCTTTCTGACAGCTCTTGTTTTAATAGTAACTATAATGGTATTTGAAATTCACTACGAAAGTTTGGCGGAAATTCAGTGTGTTACTAAGTAGATCTTGTCATTTGTCAAATTAATTCCTGTACAGTATTCAATGCAATGCCATATTGGAATATTCATCAATAATATTGGAGCTATAAAATATCACATAGAGTGTTAGTTTCTTGGCAGAGATAATATATTGTTTTATTTCATATATGTCAAATACCAGATAAGATACATAGGAACATTGAATAAAATAAAATAAAAAGTAGCCTACCCTGTGATTTGAGAGAGCAAAAAAATAAAATGAAATAAAATGTTATCCCTACCGACCTACCCTAATTTTTCTTTACCATGTAACAGGAAACAAACAACTTTTTTTCTTAGACCTAAATGAAAAAAAAAATTTACTATATAATTTGTGACTGCATAGCTTTATGTTTGTTTTATTTTATAGACATCGTTTCTGTGTCTGATGCCCCTGAGGAAGAGGTTAATGCTGACGAACCAGAGTTTATGCCTCACCCATATGATGAGGATGATGAACTTGCTACACCTGTTTTTGACTTTGAAGGTAGGTTTTGTTTGTGATAATAGGGAACAGAAGCTGTAATAAATAGGAAGGGAATAAGCCAAGAGGTTGATTCATAAGACCAAATTTAGCTTTTTTTTATATAGTTCATGTTAAGCTTCTATAATAGTAATGTTATGTACATATCAATGTGATATATTCACTAGTATCTCACATGGAATAGCCCCAACTAGTTCTCAGGTTCGAGAACTTTTTCCTTAAGAATGATAGAACCAGTTTGGACTTGGAATGTTAATTATCATTTTGTCTATTTTAGAAGATGGGGAGAGTAGAGGTGGGCGGAAGAAGCGCAAACCTGTGCAGAGGCATAACTGGAGAGAAGAAGAAGAGAATGAGTTGAGAAACCTCTTTCCTCAGAGTTTTAACCGCAAGAAGCTGCCAGGTCTGAAGGAAATCGCCACCAAAATCAGAGGAAGCGCTGTATTCAAAGACCTATACCCTGGCAAACTTACTGCCAGTGCAATTAAAAACAAAATAGATCGAATGTTACGTTGAAAATTGTTTCACCTTGTTCAGTTATCAGATATGAATGAATTACGATTGCATAAAGTATAATTAGACCGGGAACCAGATAAGTTTTATTTAGACTTATGTACCGCACACTTTAGTGTTAAGATGTTAAGAGCATTTGTCTAAGACTAAAAACGTCTTATTCTTAAGTTTTTATACTTGTGCGTTTACAAGTTAGGAATGGCATCAAAGTAACGCCATTGTCTATTTCATTAACTACTGTATGTCCCGCTTTTTAAGTGTCACCACAGGAAACTACAACGGACCCTTGTAATTATGTAATTTAAGAAAATCACACCCTGTGCTTTCACCATGAAAAGAGGGCGCGTAAAAAGGCGATATTTTATGTATTTTTATACTTTTCCTGAAATGTCGCCTTTTTGTGTGCCTTCTTTTCCCAGTGAAATCACGGGGTGTGATTTTCTTAAATTACATAATTATAAGGGTTCACTGTAGTTTCACCTGATGAAACTTAAGCAATACATATTATTTTTAATGAAATACACAATGTGTCCTGCATTTTTTTTTTTTTTGAGAAAATTTTTGATAATTCAATTTATATGATTAAAAGTGGGCGTGGCCTAATTAGCATAATTTATGCTCAAAATTCCATTAATTTTGACAGTTTTTCAAAATTTTCATATGTGCCTTATATGATGTTTACAGTCATTCCCATAAAAATGTGCATTAAATTGGAAATTTTAATTAAAAATATTTGTCAAAGGGGGCATCTATGTTGTCCTACACTTTAGTCTGGTAACTTTATAAAGAAATGGTTTAATCATTGATCTGAATTATAATGTGATTTACTACCTTGGTACAATCTGAATTAATGTTTTGAAATATATATTGTTAGTATTATTGTTATTATTGTTATTGTTGTTGTTATTGTTATTATTGTTATTGTTAATTGTTAATAATTGTTAATTATTGTTAATTGTTAATAATTGTTATTGTTAATTGTTATTGTTCACAATATTGTTATTGTTATTATTATTATTGTTATTATTGATAGTATGAGATTCAAATTAGTATGGTCACTTCTTAGTGAAATAAATGAAGTGTCAATTGCAAAATGGGTTTGTTGACTTTGAATCACTTTCAAGAAATTGTTTCCTTTTAGCATTTCACAATGATTCATTCTATTGATGTTTTAAAGTTCATGGTAGCATAGTGACTTTTTTTATTAAAATGGTATTATTATTATTATTATTGTGAAATGTGTAAAAATGGATTTGTTTGCTTTGAATCACTGTATGGAGATTATATTTTTTCTGCATTTCCCAGTGATTAATTTTGTTTGTTTTTAAAGTTCGTGGTAGCGTGGTTACTTATTAATATAATAGTTACAATTTAAACCTGCATATTTTTGCACTACTCTCATTATTGAAACACATAATTGCTACATTTCTCTCATCCAATTTATTTGCCGCTCATTAATTTTGCATATAAGGTAGTGTATATTAAGTGGAATGTAGAAACACCACAACTACTCTCTGGTAATGCCACAAGTTAGACAAGACAATAATAATGATAATATAGACTTTATTTCAAGAGAGTGATTCAGTTAAGTAAATTTTCCATCTAAGCAGTTTATCCAAGCAGGTAAGCCTGCATAAGTTAATAACCTGAGAAGTCTTTTCCCACAAGTGGCCTCCCATGAGGAATGTCCATACAAGCCCACAAAAACGGTCTCTCCCACAAGTACCTCCCATTAGGAGTATCCATTTGTAGCCCCACAAGTTGGATAGCTTCCCATAAGTGTGGTTGGTACTAACAAGAACCTCACAATGAAAAACGGACCTAAAAACCTCACAATTGGCACTGGAGCAGTATGTCTGTTTGTCTGTCTGTCTGTCTGTCCGTGTGAAATCAATGTCACAGTTTCCAGTCCTGAAACTCTGCTGTTACATGTACATCAGCTCAAGTACATCATCACCCTTAGATATTTTTAATGAGACAGCATTATCTCATACCATGACAGCTAGAAAATATTTATTTTGGCATTATCTGAGCAGATTCTCACATACTGAACTCTCTTAAAAATGCTTTTCCTCCAAACAAAAATATCTTGGCCACTGCTGAAGAAAAATCATGTCAGTAAGAATTTGATGAATGTGCTACATATTTGATTTTGTAATTGACTTCTACAGAATGTTTTCAGAAATGTCCATGGTCTTACTCCCAGAGATTGTATTACTACAGAAGCTGTCAGGAAAGCCTTGGAAACCTCCAAACCCGAGAAAACTGTACCGTCTTCACCACAGGTAGATTGTTTGTAGGAATTTATTTCAGTAATTTAGGTCTACGGGCTGTATCGCATTCTGTAATTTATGAATCTAGTAATGTATATAGATCAAAAGTGTTCTTTTGATACAGTCTAAATGTGCTTTTATTAAAGGCTTATGATTTTAATACTCACAGGTGTTTTGATGTCATTTGACACCTTAGTCTGCGCTGATGTCTAGAGATGATGTTAATGACCATGTAATATATCCGGGAATATTTTTTAAAAACTCTTGAAGTAAAACCATAATGTAGGACACATATATCCCTTCACCTGACATAAAAACAACTAAAACTTCCATGAATGGCAAAAAATAAATTCATGTGCAGTCATATTTGCGTTAAAAACAATAAAATGAAACAAGGATTGCTCAACAGCAATTTATTGAAGATGACAAAACGGCAAAAGATCACGTGTTGAGACCATCAGTACTGTAGGACCTCCTGGGTTTTTGCAGGTCATGTCGCAGGTGCCCCGTTACAACCGTCTAGTACTGCTCCCTACTGGGCTAACGAGAGATCAGAAGAGACAGCTGGAGAAGTGCGCCAAGCTTCTGAATGCAGGTCTTGCCACAGACTTCAGTCTTGAAGGTGAGAGTTAATGATGTATTCTGAACAGGTATATCTCACTGAGACTCTCAGAACTTGGTCTTCAGCTGCACATCCTCCTTAATTGTATTTTTTATTTAAAGAAGAATTCTAAAAAATATATATAATTAAGTACCTTAACCTTACATAAACAATAGCAGTATCTACCTAATTGTTGCTTATTCAGATATTTATTCTTTGTTGTAATAATATAAGAGTGTGGTATTTTAGTGACCCATGTGGTGACAACAGTGAATGCTGAAGGCATGTGTCCCAGAACTATGAAATATTTACAGGCAGTGCTCACTGGAAAGTGGGTGGTGAACTTTGAGTGTGAGTCAGTCTCTCTCTCTCTCTCTCTCTCTCTCTCTCTCTCTCTCTCTCTCTCTCTCTCTCACACACACATATCTCATTATTACCAACATATTTCCCATAACAAAGTATTTTCCTACCTGTAACATTATATATTTCCTATTACAGGGGTTTCCCTAAATCTTAACTATATTATTTATTTATTTATTTATTTATTTATTTATTTTTCCTTTTTTTTTTTTTTGGGGGGGGGGTATTAAAATTGTTTACAGGGAGTTTCCTGTGTGTAGGACATTTTTATTTAATACAACAGGGGTTCTCATGTATTGTGGACATTATATATTGCGTGTTATTAATTTACAAGTATTTATATTAATCTGGAACATAATATATACTTATAATATATAATTGGGTGTCCTTATTTCTTAAACACTTTTTTTTTTTGCTGTAACAGGGGTTTCTCTGTGTCTGGAGTACAAACACCATGTGTGTGAGGAAGCCTTTGAAGTACCAGGGAGCAGCACCAACCCTGACTCCCAGGCTCCAAGGCTGAGCAGGTTAAATGCAGAAAGACAGGTAAATCTCACGCAGACTCTCAGGGTGCTCGTAATTTTTTTAGCAGAATAAGATTCTTAGCTTAGCTTCTAAAAATAACTAGTCTATTTTAAGTGTGGTTATTCACAGCAAAAGTTAAGGTAAGTTTCATGTAAATGACGATTGTTTAACTATCATTGAATATACATGTCAGGCCCATAGCCAGCAATTTCAAAAGGGGGGGTTCTTTTTCTGAAAAAGTGGACCTTTTCCTATAAAAACTTCTTGTACCTAGATCAAATTTTACCCAGAGTGGACCCCCCCCCTCCCCCCAGGCTACTGGCCTGCATGTAGCCATCATAAAACTATAATGATTAAACCATAGGAAAAGACATAGTAGAAAGAATATTGTGTTCAAGTCTGATTCATAGAACAAGAAAAATTGGGGGAAAAAAGGAGGAAAGAAAATATACAATTTCATGTAATTTTACTTATCTTTTTCAGCTTCCTGGCTTATTCAATGGCTGCCATTTCTTCTTCCATGGCACATTCACCTATCCCAGTCCCTCCAAGGATGACCTTGTCCAGTTGGTCAAATACGGTGGGGGTGTTGTCTTGGCCAGAGAGCCCAAACTAGACACCCTGGACAACCTGGACAATACTGTCCCTTACCACGCCAAACTGGACACTGACCTGGCCAACTGCGGTCACTACATTGTCCAGGATAAGGTAGCAGAGGATGCTGGGAAGAGTTCCGAGGGTAGCAGCTCACGGCTGCGTAGAGTCAGTGCTGCCTGGGTGATGGATTGCGCAGCGCGTTTCTGCTTGTTGGACACAGAGGGATAAAGCTAGGGTGGAAATGACACAAGTACTTCAGAGGGAAAGTTGGTCTTGATTTTTACGCAAAACTTTGCTCTACTTACATTTTGAGAAATCCACAGCTTATGATAGCCCACTAGAATAGAAAAACAGATAGTCTATAGAAATTAAAGCCTTCTGGATTTATTTGGAAATCCTGGTGTTTGGGTGTTAGATTTAGGGTGCATTCCCATAGATTTTAGAACGATCTATCCCCGTGGGGAGTCTCACTAGATTACTGTCAGATAATCCAGCTTAAATGTCCGTCTCGCCTACTACAAGCTGTGAGGGGGTAATTAACTTTCGTGCCCACTCGGCTGACAGCTATTTAGCATGAACCCCCAGGGAGTTAGGTCAATCAAGTTGGATTGATCTGATCTCTGGAAATGGGGTCTTATTCCCCCAGGAACCTCATATAGAGTTGTGTGCCCTATGGGCTTGCAGTTATGATAATTTTTTTTTTTTTTAAGGGAGTTTATCTCTGGATCTTAAATACAAGTCATTTCTTTTTTGTTACAGAACAAACAAATATTTCATTTCGTTTGACTGCTCCAGTTTATCTTGGTTCAAAGTAGACTAATTTTTCTTTTAAGTTAAGACCAGAGTTGAATCTAGAGTTATTTGGTGTAATACATATATGTCCCTTGAACTTGTCGTAAAGACAGATTACCAGAAATTTCATTTATCCTAAGTCATTTTATTCTTTTATAGAAACTTAGTTCTATGTAGAAATAAGCACAAGTAGCAGAGAACTTGTAGAAAGTTCTCTTATTCATAGTCCAAATTCTGTTTTATTCTGCATCAGCTTAAGGTGCGATCATACTAGGTAGTTCAAACTAAGTGCATGGGGACTCTCGCTGAATGCAATCAGATTGAAAGATTAACACGCCTCCTCCTGGCATTGAGTTGCATACAGAAAAGAAACGAGTACGATGGAAACAGATGTGGCTTATCTGATTGCATTCAGCAAGAGTCCCCACAGATTTAGTTTGAACTGCCTTGTACGATAGTTTCATTGTGAACCTGAATTGGTGTTTTTTTTTTTTTTACGATAAAGCAATCAAGACAAGTATTTTGTTTTAATTAAGATATTATTTTTAGTTAAAGGTAACCTGAAAATGCTATAATCTAGCAGATGATTGTAAAGCACAAAAATTCACTATTAAACTATACAACTGATGAAAAATTATATGATTCCTGCAGTTACTCATTCCTTTAATGCATCTATCGGTGTCAAGGCAAGTTTGTTGAGTCAAATAAGAAGTAAAAATGAACTAATTTGAGATTTGCTCTCTTGTTCCTTCTATTGTGTACGTACCAAGTACACCAGTCAACCTGTAGTAGAGATACATTTCTCGTGCTAGATAAAATGCCTTGCCAAAAAATTGTTTTAAACTTTGTTGAAGACAAAATGGTATCGTGTTAATAAAAACTTGTTATGCTTGCTACATTCTATGTGTTCTGCCGTGGTGGTGGTTTGATCAAATGTGGCGGTGTGAAAAGTAAACATTGGATCGATGTGCATAAATTCCAAGGTTGGCCACTGTGTTAGTTGTGAAATGGCTGCAAAATTTGATTTGCTCGGATGTGCTAATACGCACTGATGTGGTCCTGATTTTTTATTTGTTTATGTATTTTATTTATCTTTGTGTGTGTGTGTGTGTAACTAAAACTCATAATGGAGGTGGGGGCTATTAAATTCCACGGAAAGTAACAAAGTATTATAGATAAAAGACTCATAATAAAACGATAATTATAGCCCTTTTCGATGGGAACCCCATTGTAAAAAGGCCTGAAAGAAGCCTCAGTGATTAACTTCAAGTCATAGTATGGTGTATTTCCTTAAAATTTAATATGCATAGAAACTCGATGTTGTCAATGATTGTCTTATTTAAGAAATGCATTTTTTTTTCAAGGTTTTGGCAAGAAGACGGCCATTGAAAGATGAACGATTTAGCATTTTTTTGATTTTTTTTTATTTAAAATAACACATCCCCCTCTCTCCACTTCCAACGCTCCAATTGTCATTTTCAAACAATATTATCTTTAACAAAATTTGCAATATTTTATAATGCCAAAAAAAAAAAAAAAAGATAAGCATGGATGAATAAAAATCATCGACCGTCTCTTAATCCTTATGACATAAATAGATTATATGATTGATAGATTATATGATTGATGATTGATAGATCATCCAATATTTTCATCAGTAACGCCTCAGAAGACGGACATACGGTGTCATACGCCATTAGTTACATAGAAGTAAATCCCGACATAACGGTCGTATACCTTAAGGTTGTACCGTACCTATTACGTGCCACGACCTATTTTTATTCTTCCCACTTCGTATTACCCTCGCGGTTTGTACTTCTTTGCTGCATATATACACGCTATCGTGGTCGACAGGTTTTTGTATGTATGAATATTAATTTGATTTTGAAAGTTTCTTTTGGGACTCCGATCAGTAACATGTGTTACGTGAAACTGATTGTCCCTAAGGTCATCCGTATTCCTGCGTCTTTCAAGATGGTATTTTTCTGAGGAAGAGGAGAAATGTTTACCTTGGCGTTTTATTTCGCTCTGATTGCCATGTTGACGAGCTGTGACATGCAGCCAGAAAATTAAGGTTTTGTCCTTTGGTCGTACTAACGTTTTAATGTAACAGACTGAGCTTGCCAGACACGAGATGCTGTCAGCAATAATGTTTGCGCGAGGCTGGGGGTGGGGGTGGGGTGGGTGGGAGTGGGTGGGGGGTTAAACTTCCCTTCCCTGTCCATTTATTTCAGGCATATTAAGCGGGAATAGAGGGATAATAGACCCGTCCTGCTACTTGTGTTTGTATATTCTGGTTTTATGTTTCATATTTTTCTCTTTTAAACCCTTTGCATAGCTGTTAGAGAAAGTATGATTTACACAGAGCGTAGAGGAACAATGAGAAAACTACTGTGCTCGCTGACAACATAGTTGTATGACAGGTGCTTTTATTTCATTTCCCTATATAATCCCACCTTTCTCCAAGGGATAACTGCAGGGGCTCAAATTTTGATGACAAGTAAATATATCAGAGTATCAAGAGAGGAGATGGGAAGAAACGGGAAAAATTTTTTGCGGCTTATAATATACAAATATCATGCGATGTGCGCATGCACCAGTATCGTTAACGTCGGTGTTTAAAACTAATGGAAAATTACATTGATAAATTATTTGGTTAACACTGGGGGGAAATACATTTTGCTACATTCTTTCGGGAAATCACCGTACATATACGCATTTTATCACAACTAAGCATGACATTAAATAAAAAATCCTTCCCACTATTTCATTAAATTTCACATATTTACATTGTGCTTGAATAAATGAATGAGCTAATGAATGATTTTTTTTTTAGCCATCTTCTGAAGGTAAATAAATAGATAAATGAAGGGTGCATAGGTCTATATAGTCGTAAGGAATCAATCAATGACATAGAAACTTTTATGTTCATGGTAAAAGATAAACTGAATCTTCTGTAAAATAACAAAAAAGAAACAATATCATTCTAGGGTGTTAGAATGAACGCAGACCTATTTATCTATTTCTTGCTCACAAACGACGACAACGGCCATATGCTTATGAAGTATTACCTAGCCATGGACGGTAGGACTTCTGCGGTTTGAGTCGTACGCATGCTGATATGACAGAAATAAGTCGTTCAAGACCAGAGCATTATACTGGTAGTAATTTAGAAAGTATACCTCCTTTGGCTCAAGGCGGAGGGAAATTTATGCTGAACTGAACGAAGGCAGTTAATAAGTAAAGAAGTTCCGCTTGCCTACATGCCAAGGTACCTTTAGCCCGGGGATAAATACCACAGCGCATTGAGAACACGCAAGGGTCACTATATCCAACGTATATATATACATACATAACAAACATCACGGGCTCGAGTATAAGTTTTGAAAGAGCAAAACGATCGTTATGTTCGGCCTGTACGTTTTACAAGCCTGCATGGTTGGTGTCCTGACAAAAGATGTCTACATAGGCGGTATCTGGGACGAGGTACCCGGAGACCCCAACTCCTATATGTATGGGCCAGCTGCCATGGCGCTGGAGGATATTAACAACAAACCGGATATACTGCCCGGATACAACCTGCGGATAGTTTACAAGAACACTACAGTAAGTTAATCCACATAATGGGCTTCACGGTGTAGTGGGCATTTAAGGCACATCGTTAAGTTTTAAATTTACAAAGATATCCAACACCACATTCCCGAGTCACTTTCTCCGAATAAAAAAACTTTATTGGTTCATTTTTATGAAAATGTGATTAACAATAATATGAACCACAGTCATATTATTACTTGGAATCTGGACATTTTGTGAATGATGCTCTTTCCCTTCCCCCATTTTTACGCATTTGAACTGAATCCTTCTGTAGTCTATTATCAGTTATACATGTAAAATCTCACCCACTGTACAATAAATTTCCAATACACCATTAAATCCTTGTAATGTAGATGGGCTTTACCAAACATACCATGAAGAAACATATTTCAAGCTCAAATTGTTTGAACAGATATTTTTTTCCTGAAGATGCCTCAAATTTAACTCCATTTGACGTTTGAGCCAATCTTACTTAGACATGATTCAGGTTACAGTTCAGCTACACAATGGCATTTAAATTATTGTTGCATCTTATTTAAATTACAAATTATGAACCACTCCCTGTTTTAATGCGCCCATTTAAGCCAAAGGTGTCGCATAACATGGAAATGAACCAAATGAGACAATTTTTGCTCTGGGAACACCAACAAATTAAAACTTAAGACTTCAAGGATTAAGGCAATATATATTCTCATTGGTTGTAACGAAGTTGCATGTGAAGCCCTTCTTCCCACCAGATAATACAGTATACGATAATCGAACGCAATTACGTCCCATTGGTGCAATGGGACGCCGTGCGTTGCTATATAGGGCAGTCACATCTGAGCAGTTTCACGCTCTGTTGGTGCAATCGGGCCCTGTTGTGCACAGGGTGATTAAAAATCTGGTCGTATTTTCAGACTACCCTCTACCAGGACCACAGGTTAATTTTTCTTCAGTGCAAGCGGAGAGCTGGTATAGTGTCACGAACTAGCACATTTAGTAAAAAATCAATCTGTGACCCATGTAGAGGATATTATCAGACTATGTCGTACGACTTGTGTAGCTTAAAACGCAACCGGGCCTGTAAATTGCTCTTGCTTTGTTCTGTTTTATTTCATTCCATTCTGTTCCGTTTTATAATAACGTTGCCATTACTTGTGACCCCTTCCTTTTATTCATGTCATAAAGATTTCAGAACATATATCAGAACCGCTTGCGCCCGATGGTAAACAGTAACGACACTAAAAGAATGTAAATTGCCTCCGTCTGTCGATTTATAGACACGAAAATATGTCATCGTCATCATTTATCTGTCATCTGATGAACACTTTTGGCCAAAGTCTGGTTGTATGCTAATTAATGACTTATACATGTACTGCGGATAGCCACGGGAATAAAACGCTTTATTCGTTCAAAGATTGGCAAGAAGACCTCGCAAAAATTTTGCAAAATCTCATAATATTGTTTTTAAACATAACCCGTTTTTTGTTGTTATGAAACACCCATAATATGCTGCTGACATGGAACACTACAGGTTCAAAGTTGACTACAATTTTGTATATAAGTTTCTAACAACTATCAGTTTACAGCTCCTTTTAAAAATTGTATAAAAAGGGTCCCCTGGGATCTTCCAGGCACCAATAATGGTGTTTTTGTGTGGAGTAGCTGGCCTGTAACTTGTAAAATTAGGCCTACACAATGCATATTAGACCTTTACATGTACATTGGTCCCAGTACAGCAATTCTTTAAATGATGCTGTCACACAGAATCCAATGTCATAACATTTTCTTTTCTTAAGCTCCCCAAAAATGTGTCTTTGTATCACGTGGGCACAGCGCTGGAGAAGCTGGAAGAGCTTCTGAACGCAAAAAACGACCCGCCGGTCATGCTGCTACTGCATCATGGGAGCTTCACGGAGACGGAAGTATTGGCGGAAATTACCGGAAGTAGGAAGATGATTCAGGTAGAAAACGATAAATGTTGATAAATAATTCGGTATTGCTAATATATTTTTCAAGTTTACAACTTTTACAAGTATCAGCAAGATTTCAGGCAATTTGTGCGCGAAAATAATCTTCTTTTTATCGCCATTGCTATTTAAAATAAGCTTATCTTATAAAATGTCACGCTTGTTTGCAATTATTTCTAATGAAGACCTATTTATTTTTTTAAATCAAAGTAGTAAAAATCTACTATTTAGAAAATAATTGAAATCAAACTCCAACTTCTTTAAAAAAAGCTACCTACTCCATCACATCTGTGTAAAACATAAAATACAATACACAAAACTCAAACATTTAACAAAGACCAATGACACCACGTTTGTTTTTATTCCCCAGATCTCGACTTTCAGCTTCTCCGCCTCCCTCTCCGACCGGATAAAGTATCCGTATTTCTATCGTACCATAGGATCTTTGGTGGATACTGTGCAGGAAGAGGAAGCGTTTGTCAGCCATTTTGGCTGGAACAGAGTCGGCATTCTTAGCTCAACGGGAGGGTCGCATAAAGCGGTAAATACCAATGTTTTATTTAGATTTCGTATGATAGAACTAGGTAATAATGTGGTTAAAATTAGATATGCATACTTGTTCAATAAAAGTTAAAATTTAGGTCAATCATAAATTAATGGATATGTGACTGAATGAATAAAGTAACAAACGAAAAAATAAATGGCTGGATTATTAATCAAAGGGTGAGCAACTTCATGGTCGGTTAATTAAATCTTATATCGGGCAGACAGGAAGAAAAAGGAAAAGCAAATCATCATGTATACATTTATGTGGTATAATCGAGTATATCCTTTCAGATGACTAGTGAACTGGACATCATTCTCCGAGAGAAGAACATCGACGTGTATACAGTGTTCTTCACACCTGACACGATTCCCCAGGCAGTGGCTAAGTTGAAGGTTAGCACAGCTAGCCGTCATATGTGTAACCTGAGAGCAGCACGTTGACCCCGTTAACTTTATTTGGGGTTTTCTTAAATTATAGCACACACGGAGACTACGAATAAATGCAATGGCGGGGACTTTTAACCCTACTACATGTTGTAACTCCGTAGACTGTGCCCTAAAACGTTTCGAATCTACTCTCTGACCACTATTAGTATATGTTGCAAAATTATTGTATATTGTATACTGTTTTAGATGCTCCTGATGTATCAGAGGGTAGGCTACTGGTAGGCCTATGTCGAAAACCCATCTATGCCTGAAACCGTTTTTTTTTTTTTTAAATGCAGACAATATTAGCGTAGTTTATAAAACGTTATGTGTTTGCCGGGTATCTACTGAAATAGTGCCCGTGTCTGAATAAAGCCGTTAATCTACCATAACGTGGCCATAACGGCCATGACGTTTTTTTTTTTTTTTTTTTTTTTTTATTTGTAAAATTATAGTAATGTTATAATTACGTTATGTGTTTGCTGGGGTATCAAATGCTCCTTTTGATATTTAATATTCCATGTTCCTTTTTTCAGAAGAAGACAGACCTACGCATATTTTTGATTCACAGTCCGTCCCCTAGAAAACAAGACATAATGGAAATATTTTGTGAGGTGCAATAATCGTTTGACAAAACGTGCCATATCTTATTATACAATTACGCGTGCTACCCCTACACTTCATTCGAAGATCTTCTTAGAGAAAAAAAATGAATAAATACAGATATGTTGATTTATGATACTACTAAAATGACTATTTAAAGTTTCAATGATTATCAACGTCAATGCCAGCAATTTTAATAATATTTAAATTGTTGTGTATTGAAATACTTGATTTGATTTTATTCATTTTATTTCAAACATTAGGTCTACAAACAGGATCTATACGGAAAAAATTACGTGTGGTTGGCCCACATACAGCGCTACAATAACGTGTGGAGCGAGGTGACGGAGGCCATCACGAGCCGGAAGTTGACGTGCACTCCGCAGCAGATTGTGACATCAATGGAGGGAACATTTAAAACGTACCGCATGAATGCACAACAAGCTTTTGCTGCACAGAGGGTATTCAAAACCGGGATTTCGGGAGAGGTGAGACGATATTTGTGATCTACATTCAAGTTTTCGGGAAAAAGTGGGAATGTTTAGTATCAGTGCCAAACAAAGTTTGTTACATTGTCACGAATTTTGATGCTTACTGATTGGTTGAGAGGCAGTCACGTGAGGTAAGTCACTTTTATGAGTTGGCCTCCTTGTCAACTCACTCCCGCTTCTCGGATGCAAATGGCCACTGCATCAGCTTGATATGTTATCATTAAGTTGTTCATTATTCTTTTAAGACAGTTTGAGATTATCTTTTTTTATATAATTAGATTCCGTGAATATGTAACAAAGCCGTTTAGGACTAGTGTTTTGGCATTGAACCTTACTAAGACCCCATTCCCATAGATTTTAGATCGATTTATTTCTGTGGGGAGTCTCACTGTCCCGCCTACTAAGGGTGCATTCCCAGAGATTTAGATCGATCCAGAGATTTAGATTTAGATTCGACCTAACTCCCTGGGGGTTCACGCTAAATTGCAGTCAGCCGAACGAGCACCATAGTTATTTACCCCCTTACAGCTTTTAGTAGGCGGGGCAGACGATTAAGCCGGCTAAGCTGACAGTAATATAGTGAGACTCCCCAAAGGGATAGATCAATCTAAAATCTATGGGAATGCGCCCTAAGAGAAAACATCAGCGGAAGTAAATAATTTTTCATATATCATTTCTCTTAAAGTACCTGGTAATAGTGGGGCAGATTTACTTCGGATCCTGAAATGTTTGAGCAACCCAGTAGAGTTTTGCAATCATGTTTCGCTGCTCCATCTCCCTTTGACAATCTTGGGCGTGCGCAAATTGAAATAAATAGGCCTACATTATTAAAAGGTGATTCAGATTCTATCAGTAGGAAAATCGTCCTTCTCTTGTTCTGCCCTTCAGCAAAACTGCAGAATAGCCTACCTTGTCGCATAATTTTCTGACTTATTCTTTCCATGAAGGTAAATTAACAAAAACTTTTTTTGCGAGAAAGCCCCTATTAAGTTCCTCGTTTGTATGAAGTGGGTGAAACTAAATCTATAGCACAAGTTTTTTTTTTTTTTTTTTTCAATGGGTAGTTAACGTTGAAAAGGTGAATAAGCGGTTTGCTTGGCTACTCTTGTGAAATGTGTCAAAGGGACTATGTTGTATATTATGTCGCCTAGCATCAGTTACAGCTTTGGGGTCATATCTTTGGGTCGTGTGATTGTTTGCGCATTCTTGTCAAAAATAATACATTTAACTTCGCCCTTTGGTGCATTATATCTTGAATAGAATTTCTTTACTATGAGTATTTTGTAAAAAAAAAAACTTTTCGATGAAATAGCATTTCTCCTCGTAATAATACTATTCTTATTTGGAAGAATTATAACTATAGAAGCAAAATTGTGTTTTCCCATGTATGTCAAAATGCAGATAAAAACTCACAAATCTCTTTTTTTTGTTTTGTTTCAGGAGCCCCATACAACCTGGCAGAGAATGGTCGCCAAGCCATGGTTTTTACCCAACGTCCCCCAAATCTTTTACCAGTTATCGTACGACACAGTGTGGGCGGCGGCTCTGGCTATACACAACACCATATCCAGGCTGCCGAGGTCCGCGGTGGATGGGGTTTCCTACTCGGAGCTTGAGACAGTCACAAACATACTTGACGCTGAACTGGCTAATATGACTTTCTTCGGTGCATCGGTGGGTGGATGTTGTTGTCCTTGAAACCATTTTGTACTCGAACCAAGGGATTATAATTCCTTGCTTCATACCAAGCAGGTTCAAGGGGTGTGTGTGCGTGTGTGTGTGTGTGTGGGGGTGGGGGGGGGGGGGAGACAATGAAATAAGACCAAATGTGTATTTACTCGGGTGCACATAACGGGTATTATTGTACCCTCTACCAGGGCGACAGATTGATTTTTCACAAGATATTCACAGATATGTCTCCAGATAAATAGACAGTTATTTGGCTCTCTGTCGTTTTCTCTGGTGTTTTCAAGATTTCCCTGTAATATCTGCCGCCCTGGTAGAAGGTAGTGTTATTTCAGTGCTCTGTGAGTTAAAGAGATACTATAGGCCTATAATGCCAGACTTATCTCTACTCAACGTACTTTTTGCTGGGAGTTTAAAGCCCTTAGATTTAATCCTTTCTCACATATGCAAACCGGGGCCATTTCCGCTGGAGTTTCTGTGGCATTAGGTCCAGGCCTTTAAACTTTAAACGTTGTTATCCAGTTTTAACTTTGTGCCAATGTTTTGCTTCCCGCTATAGAAACTCTTTAGAATTTTATGCCCTACACCTCAAGATAAAAGTTGCATAAAATTTCTTGTTTTAACTGTTTTCAGGGCCCTGTTTCCTTTTATCAGCATGGTAGTCGCTCCAGTTACTTAACCATTGAACAAGTTGACAGTAAGTTGCTTGTAGTTGCTATACTGATTACCATTTCTCGTTCATCAACGCCTTTATCTCTATGGCATTCAATAAGTTTATCACAACCGTGGTTACCAGCGTTAATGACGTCAACATATACATCCGCTGTGTCATTTTCTAGGTGCACGTCATCACAAACACTGGTCATTATTCTTCCCCTAGGCAGCACATATACCAACTGATACAGAATGTAATTTATAGTTTGAATTAGTAATTTGGATGATGTTGAAAGGGAAACCGAACAACTGACACTAATGGCTTTCAAAAACACGGAACGCATGCTGTATGTCACCACCAAAGTAACATTCCAACCAGATGTGGGCTGTAAAGTGGCTCTAGTCTTATTAGGCTAATTTCACTCATAAGTTTCACTCAGTTTTATCAGCATCATAATCTATACTCGTTACTCTTGTTGTAAAATTGGGCGTTTGACAAAACAAAGGATCACCAACAGATATTTTCACCAACCCGTGTAATGCACTCAAGCTAATAGATTTTTTTCAAATAACGGTTTTAGTTTTGAGCTTTGGGTTATAACCACTATGAAATTCCGTTGTTTTCCTGGACAGTGACAGGACACCTTAGTTGCAGGGTAACATGTTTCTATGTTTTGCAGATGGAACAGTCAAAGACCTCGGTTACTATGAGGAAAAGACAAGAAAGATCACGTGGTTTGCGAACTCCAAAAAAGCAATATGGAGCAAGCATGGTGAGTGTCGTGCGTTCTTTATTTATTTATTTTTTTTATGAAGAGGGGAATCTCTCTCTCTCTCTCTTTCTCTCTCTCTTACTCTCTCTCTCACACACACACACACACATACTCAGACAGAGAGACAGACGGACACGCGGGGGAGGAAGGGAAAGGGGCACAAATAGTAGACGAAGACAGGTTTACGGTAATTTGTAAGAAACATGAATTGGAAACGCGCTTGGTTTTGTCTTGTTTAAAATTTGTAATTCTATTTTTGTTTGTTTGTTTTGGTGGAGTAGGGATTATCCGAACGACCCACTGTGCCCCTCTCCCCTCGGGCGTGTCTCAGTGACCAAGGTTTGGTTAATAACCTCATTTCGACCTCAAATAGCTACAATTTCCTGCATGCAGCTTAAAGGGACGAGGGGAGAACAAAAAGCCTCCCCATCATGCTATCGTAGGTCAAATAATGAAATCCTACCTGGATAACCTGAACCTGATTTTACCTGTCAAAATGCACCTTTAGATGTACTGTCAGTCGAAATTGTATCGACAGGCTGCCAACTGCAATGACTTTGCGTGTTGGTGCATATAGCCCACCATCATACGATTTCACATGGCTTGTGTAGAAAATGCACCTGAGTCATCTTGCACTTATTTTAATAAAAACATATAACTACTGTCATATTGTGACCTCGGGGGAAAGGACGAGAAAAATTGTGACAAAAATCGCCTTAGGATTTTGATTTAAAAAAGCACTGCATGCCATCTATGATATATCTGAACATATCGTACACAAAGCAGGTTGAACAGGTTCAACATTTAAGCTAATTTAAACCACAGCATGGGAACGGCATGTTACAATACTGGTTGGAGCGCGCGATTTGGCCATTGCGCCGTGTTGGAAATGTGTCAAAAAGATTTGGGAATTATTAGCGGTTTGCGTGTATCCTCTTATTTCTTACCCAAAGGTCTTAACTAAAGAATAAGAACGTATTATATTATATTATATTATATTATATTATATTATATTATATTATATTATATTATATTTACCCCACAGCTTTCCAAAAACGAGAAAAGACGCTTTGGGGCCACAAACCATGTTCACATTTTTTTCAGTGCTACTTTGGGCGTTGGGGTGGACTTTTTTAATCGCCTTTCATTACAAGCCAATGGCTGGTATGCAAATCATCAATAATGACTTGTATTCTATTTACCCAAGGTGGGGCTCCACCGAAAGCGGGCTTTACCGTGAGAGTTGAACGTAGAAGCGTGTCACGTGCTCTGAGACTGGTGTACTCAGTGATTGGTGCAATTGCAATTATACTAGCACTCATCTTGATCATTTTTACCTTGCTAAAGTGGAAAACACAGTAAGTAAACATAAACGCCATCTAGCGATGATAACTTCAGTAAATAAAGATAAGCGTTATTGAATGCCGCCATAATTTTTGTAAAAGATCATGCTACAGTTTGCCTCAGGATTTCAGTAATGCATGCGGTTTTTATGTGATTTTTTATTTTTCATACACACACGGCCGTTCGTAATTGAATAATGCAACTGTTATATACCATATTACAGATTAATACAAAATTCCTGGCCGTTGTTGAACGTCTCCATAACCTTTGGCTGTATCATCCTGATTGTGTCAATCATTCTGAACGGATATGACGTCACCGATACTTTGTGCCACGCCTCCTTATGGTTGTTCATCCTGGGCTTTACGGTGTCCTACGGGTCAATGCTGGTCAAAATGTGGGGGGTGTTAAAATTCCACCGTGGAAAGAGACAGCTGGTATGAACCTTTTTATATTGTATTGCGGGGCCAAGTTTCTTAAGACTGGATATATATATACAGTATAATGCTATCTAGTGGTCCCGTCCTAGATTTTGATACACTTGCGTCACGGTCAGCCTTATTTGTGTAAACCTAACTGAGGGCTGAATCTCTGTTACATGCCCCCCCCTCCCCAAAGTTTTGTCGCACTGAAATTCGTTATGGTACCTAATTATTGCGTCAATTTCAGGCCTTGGCTGAACAGCTGTACTTGTTGATTGCGGTAGCGGCTCTCGTATTTCTGGACATTGTGCTCCTGGCAGTGTGGCAGGCCACGGATCCTCAACGCGCCACGTGGTTAAAGGTAGAGGAGAAGGTAGGACAAGGAAACCATAGTGGCTTACTAAATGGCTGGTGTAAACCAACAGCAAAGGCTAATTTATGTAGAAAACCTAGTTTCACTGACTGTGAAATAAGGAATTTGTTTGACATGCATCGTGCTGAAAACGAGTATTATGCTTTATTTTGATTATTTTATTTTATTTTTATTTTATTAATTATTATTTTTTTGTCTCGTTAAATATGTAATAGGCCCCCTTTCTTCATCAGACTGATCGGATTGGCTATAACTCACTTTTAAATAGGGAGAACTTTCTTTTACTTACTCACACACACACGCGTGTTAAAATTAAAAAACTATCACTTTACTTTTATAGATTTAACTATGTACTGACTATATTTCCAGGTGAATTTGTTGTCCTTGGTTCGCCAGCAGGTATACGTGGCAACCTGCGCGTCTGACAGCACCATAGGCTGGAGCATCGCGTTCTTCGCCTACAAGGGGCTCATGTTGCTGATGACCGTCTTCTTTGTATGGCCTGCCTGGTAGGAATCTTTTCAGCACAAATTTTTGTTGAAACTAGTTACACCTACTGTTTATATATAAGTTTTAACAGGGGAAGTAAACAGTCTATATTTCATTATGCCCTAGCGTATTTTTAACTTAAAGAACTTCACATTTATCACTTTACATCTACCCATTATTATTATTAAATTCAATCCTAAACACAGGATTGCATCGCTAAGAACCACCACTGGAGACAGCAGTCATGTGGGCGTTGCTATGGTGATTGTCGTCCTGGTTTCCATCGTGGGTATCCCAGTGTCCATTCTGGTTGGCAATCAGCCGGATATCCGGTATGGTGTCATTGGTGCGCTTACTTTGGCGTCCACCATCGCCACCGTGCTCTTACTCTTAATTCCAAAGGTAAGAACTATTTATTTAATAGCCAGTTTATTGCTTTTTGCGAGATAGATGGA